ATCAAAGGCAAAGAGAAGCAATGGAAAGCACTCGAGACTGAGCGACCGGCTTTACTGCCCAAGGCTATTATGATAAAGTCAAGAGCTTAAATTTGAGTGATCGGAGTCGTGTGACTAATATACAAATGACTAATGATAATGTCGAAGGATGAACAAGCATCTAAGCATTCATGGTCATATGTTAGGATATGGTCTCTGTTGCCGAACCAGGGGCCAACTCCTCACAAGATCCTATGTTATGATATCAAAGGTAATAAGGACCCGAGGGACTCACAACTCAGGATTTTTGGGCATGATAAGCCCAATATGTCTTCTAACGAAGACCCGACTATTATAAATAGAGGAAATTAGATTAAATGAAGACTCTTAACATTTTTGGGACTCTTTTGATCCTTCTTCCTTTAAGGAAGAATCCTTAATACAATAGCATTTTCCCTTATCTCTTTCTCATTTGGCTCCTCCCATTTTCATCTCTAAAAATATTTTACTTCTCTCTTTGTTTGCATTATATTTCTTTGGTGTAATTCAAGATTACATATGGGTTCAAAAATTATAAAATTTTCTAATTATTCATAAAGTACCTCATAAACCAATATTTGAACATATAAAATTATTGAACCCAATTTAATTTTTTTTTTTTGCTATGAAAGTTTTTTGTTTTTATTTTGGTGCAATAAGAATGATGATATCAAGTCAAATTATATGACTTGAATCAGTTACTATTGAGCCATTAATCTTTTGCATTTATCATTAAAGTTGTGCTTGTACAAGTGGGCGACATGATACAACAATAACAACGACAACAAAGCCTTAATCCCACTACATGGGATCGGCTGCATGGATCCTTTTTCTCCATTGCCTTTTATTTAGTGTCATATTTTCATGTTATTCTAATATATTAAGATCTTTTATACAATAAGCCCAAGTCTTCCTAGGTCTACCTCTGCCTTTCTTAAAATAAGTCGAATCTAAAACAACTGCTCTCCTAATCGGATCATCAAATGGTCGATGCTTAACGTCCCCAAACCATCTAAAGACGACTTTCTCTAGTTTTGTCTGTCATAGGAGCAACACCAACTCTATCATGAATATATTTATTTCACATTTTGTCTCTAAGCAGTACAAGACAATCCTTACTTTTCTTTTCTCTTTGTTTGGCTAATTTATACATATATTTTTCACCCTCTTTAATATCTAAGCTATTATAAAAATCATTAAAAGAAGAAATTTTAACGTTTAGACTCCCTGCGGGTGAAAAACTTGGTGGTAATAATGTCAATGCCACCAAAATTTGTTGGAGATAGTGTTAACAGATATTGAAAATGTTAGAAGACGCATTACTAGTGTAATTTTAAAAATATATGTCAGCTGTCCTGACGGATATCTAACGGCTACTAAGTGAATATGATGCATTGAAGACATCGTTAAGGATTCTCACACACATAAACCCAGTTTTCAAAAAACTTTTCTTAAATTTTGTAATGACTGCTACATGAATAAGACGAATGCAGAAATCTCCTAGCGTTCAAAAATTTTCTAAGCACACAGATCGACTGCTATCAACCCTACTGCCAACCCAACATAGCATAGAGAGAGAGAGAAAGATGTCAAATTTTTTAAATAATTTTTTTTTTCTAATTTATAATATTATGGGTCCCGAGTTATATTATACTTTTGCAATAAAATTTAAAAGAATTTAAGGAGTCATATCAATAAAATTTTATATTTCTTTTAAAAAATGTTATTAATACTTTCATATTAAAACTAAATTAGTCACACTTTTTAAGAAAAAAAATATTTTTAAAAAATTAAATTAGTCTTGCGTTTTAAGGAAAAGAATATTTCTGAAAAAAAATTAAATTAATGGCTCGTTTTAAGAAAAAAATATATATATTGAAAAAAATAAATTAGTGGCATCTTATGTTGAATCTGCTTATTCCTTTTCCGCCAATCCGAAATTTATAATTTGTCGGACAGAGAGACCCTGTTCTGTGTGATTCTTCCTTTCTGTTTCTGTTGAGCTTTCATTATGCGATTCTTCTTTCTCATTCGCTGCTACTTTAATATCTAAGCTATTATAAAAATCATTAAAAGAAGAAATTTTAACGTTTAGACTCCCTGCGGGTGAAAAACTTGGTGGTAATAATGTCAATGCCACCAAAATTTGTTGGAGATAGTGTTAACAAATGTTGAAAATGTGAGAAGACGCATTACTAGTGTAATTTTAAAAATATATGTCAGCTGTCCTGACGGATATCTAACGGCTACTAAGTGAATATGATCCATTGAAGACATCGTTAAGGATTCTCACACACATAAACCCAGTTTTCAAAAAACTTTTCTTAAATTTTGTAATGACTACTACATGAATAAGACGAATGCAGAAATCTCCTAGCGTTCAAAAATTTTCTAAGCACACAGATCGACTGCTATCAACCCTACTGCCAACCCAACATAGCATAGAGAGAGAGAGAAAGATGTCAAATTTTTTAAATAATTTTTTTTTTCTAATTTATAATATTATGGGTCCCGAGTTATATTATACTTTTGCAATAAAATTTAAAAGAATTTAAGGAGTCATATCAATAAAATTTTATATTTCTTTTAAAAAATGTTATTAATACTTTCATATTAAAACTAAATTAGTCACACTTTTTAAGAAAAAAAATATTTTTAAAAAATTAAATTAGTCTTGCGTTTTAAGGAAAAGAATATTTTTGAAAAAAAATTAAATTAATGGCTCGTTTTAAAAAAAAAATATATACATTGAAAAAAATAAATTAGTGGCATCTTATGTTAACTCTGCTCATTCCTTTCCCGCCAATCCGAAATTTACAATTTGTCGAACAGAGTGACCCTGTTCTGTGCGG